TTCTTCTATGATTTTTGTTCTAGTAATGTCTGTTCATTGGTATCCTTAAACTTAATATTATTCGTATCTCGAGTATGATTATTATTTAAGCCCCTTCATGATAAAAAGTTTTGGGTTAGGGCTTCAGCTTGGGGGTTCACGCTCAGGTTGAGGCTCTGCAAAAGCTTCCAAGGAGCTCAACGGCCCTGAGACTTGTCCTTACCCTGGGTTTAGGGTTTAGGGATTAGGATAACCCTAAACCCTAAACCTCTCTGCGGCTCCTTGGTATGAGCTGAAGAATATCCCCCATTTGGGGGGGTGTCTTGGGCTTTCGGGGTGTTCGGTTGGGTTGGCTTGAACAACCGACAGCGCTGCCTAAGGCCCGCAGGTCAAGCTACTGGATCTTTTCCGCTTACCCTAAACCCGAAAGGCTCGGCCCCAAGCCCTTGACCCTAAATTCTAGGCCCGAGACCCCGAGCACAAAACCCGAAACCCGACGACGTAGCCCTTTGATAGGTCGAGCTGCTGCACCAGCCACGCTCCGCCCAGCTCTCCTGCCCAAGCTCCTGACGCTGATCCAGATGCGTCAAGGCTGGACAGAGGATGACGAAGTACTTGCACCTTGGTCGGGGTTTTAGGTTTGGGGTTTCAGGCTAATCTACTGGGGCCCTAGGGTTTAGGTTTTTGGCGTGTACCTTGCTGATGGCTTGCACAAGCACACCTGCGCGACAGGGTCAGGGTCCAGCAGAGAGTGTGTTTTTTCAATTGGAACGGAACAGCTCTCATTCGTTCGTACTGCTAGGCACACAGACCCTGACCTTTAATCAGTGAAAAAGCCCGGACCCCTGAACTTAGAAGCCTGCGATGCCAAGGTGCTGAGAGATGTAGCTCACGATCGAGCTGATTGCCTGCTGCCGGTGGAGCGTGGCTTCACCATGGCTCCCCTGAGGGCAAGAGAAATAATCGTACCAGATGTACCTCAAGGTTCGAGCACCAAGTGGATTTGACAGGGTACGGGCTTAGGCTTAGGGGCTTAAGGTTTGAGCAGAAAACGTTTCTGGCTTGAGGTTTAGCGGCTTAGCGTAGGGGCCTTCACGATTAAAATATACTATGGCTTGTTGCTCTGGCCGCTACATGGATTGCCGCCTACTTTGAGACCGCAAATGCACAAAGCATGCTCAAGAACATCCGGAGAACACGGAAGTGCTGGTAAAATCCTTCGAAGAAGGTTTCGATACACGGCCGAAGAGCATCTCTGTCACAAGTGGAATGTGGATGTTGCTTCTGCCTGGCCGGCGCCAACAATGCATGACGGGGGGACTGCTTGATACTGGCAACTTGTTTCGGACCCTAAGCCCAAACCCTAAACCCTTACTATGTTCCCAATTGTGAAAGAGTCGCACCCGGTCACACATGCCTGCACGGTAAACTCCCGCCTAAAAAGCCCTAAACCGTAAGGGTTTTGGGCTGAATCTCGGGGGGCAAATACCAGCTCGCTTTCCAATTACAAAGCATGTATGCAACCCTTATTACAAAAAAAACCTTTCTGATAAGAGCAAAAGCTTGAAAGCGCTCCTGCCATAGATTGTAATCAGTAGTTGTGGCACATTATAGCATTCTAAATAACGGGCTGCAAGGGAACTCTGTCGCTACCTGGCTTTTGTCCCCTTTTAAAAGCAAACCCTGATAAACTCTGGCGTTACAAAGGGTTTAGGGTTTAGGGTTTAGGGTTTAGGGTTTGTATTGCAAGTACTTCTCCTCAAACCCCCCAAAGCTCTATGTCAGATCATCCCGAAACTACAAACCCATGTAAGACCCCTCAAGCCCCCAGATGCGCTTTGCTAAACCTAAACCCTAAACCCAACCCTAAACGCAAAGCCCTACAGTAAAACCCCAAAAAGTTGGAAACCGGATTAAGGTCAAATAGCGCTGGGGCTCCCTATACATTACTCTGTAGGATTGAGGCTATTGGGTGTCCAACTTCTGGGCTTCTATTGTAGACCCTGCGTCCTAAACCCTAAACCCCAAACCATCAACCCGAAACCCCAAACCCCAAACCATAAACCCTAAACCCAATCCCTAAACCCCAAACCCCAAACCCTAAACCCTAAACCCCAAACCATAACCCCTAAATCCTAAACCCCAAACCGTAAACCCTAAACCCTAAACCCTAAACCCCAAACCCCAAACCCTAAACCCTAAACCCCAAACCATAAACCCCCCTAAACCCTAAACCCCAAACCCTAAACCCTAAACCCCAAACCATAACCCTAAACCGTAAACCCCAAACCCTAAACCCCGAAACCCTAAACCCTAAACCCTAAACCCCAAACCCTAAACCCTAAACCCCAAACCATAAACCCCGAAACTTTAGACTCTAAAGCCCTCGGATGCCTGAGCGGATGTTCTCCAGGGCATCCTGTAGCACCTCCAACGGCTCGAACTTGGAGGTTTCATGGGCATAGGGTTTAGGGTTTAGGGCTTAGGGGTTTAGGGTTTGGGGTTTAGGGTTTAGTGTTTAGGGTTTAGGGTGGTAGTTATAAGTGGCTTTAGGGCTTAGGGTTATAGGTGGCTTTAGGGCTTAGGGTTATACGTGGCTTTAGGACTTAGGGTTTAGGGGTTTTAAGTGGCTGTAGGGTTTAGGGTTATAAGTGGCTTCAGAAGTAGGGCAACCTATCGGTATAACGGTATAACCGGTATTGAAGGACGTATCGCCCCACTTGGACTTGAAACTACCCATGAACCTCGCAGTAGCACAAAGGCTCTCTACAATGGGTTCGGGAATCAGAATCCCCCACACCCTAAACCCTAAACCCCAAACCCCAAACCCTAAGCCCTGAACCCTAAACCCTAAACCCTAAACCCCCTGAAACCCCAAACCCTAAACCCCCTTGAACCCTGAAACATTTGTGGGTTTTCAGGCTGAGGCTTGTAGGGTCCAGGCTGGGGCTGGGAGGATTCTAGCTTCGGACTCGAGACTTCTCAACGCTTCAGGTTGGAAATGTAGGCCCTAAACCCTAAACCCTAAACCCTGAACCTAAACCCTTATTACGGGTTGAGGGTTTAGGGTTTTGGGTTTAAGGTTTAGGGTTTAGGGCTTAGGGCCTACATTTCCAACCTGATGCCCCCCTGATTAGCGAACCCCCCCCCCCCACCTTACAAGGGATGCGTGGGCCCTTGATGAAAGGGTGGTTTCGTACTCAGGGGTCTACATCACCTACTTAAAGGATCATGGGACTTAGTAAGTAGGGTTATATCTAAGGTAACTATACTTATAACCCCAATTAGGGGACTTATAACCTTACTTACTAAGCCCCATGATCCTCCAAGTAACAACCCTAAACCTTTATGGAACCCAGAATTGGACTTTTTTTGCTTAGTACGCGGGGGGACCAAGCCGTAGCCTTCAATTGCTCGGCGTTGGGATCCGGATGGTCGTTGGCGAGCCACTGGTGCGACACGAAAATCGCGTGCCCGAGGTCGTCCTGCTGGCTGCGGCTTTTATACCAAGGGCTTTCTTGTGTTTTATGGCGTTTATGGTTTCACAGGGTTGTGAATTCGGGTCTAGGGTTTAGAATCAAGGATTTAGGAACGTTTCTGAGGATCCCTAAAAGGAACCGCCCCCAAAGGCACTCCTTGAACTCCGCCAACTTGCCAGCAGAGCTGAGTGCTTCGTGCGTCTGCACCTGGGGCTTACGGTCAGGGTTGACGGTTTTGTGCTTAGGATTTGGAGTTTGAGATTTGGGGGTTGTTGGTTAAGGGCTTAGGATGTGGGAGCTGCATAAACTTTAATAAGGATTTTCAAAGGGTTACTAACGATGGGGTCTTTATAGAATATGACTTAAAGCACGTTGCGGATCCCTCTAGAACTTGCGGTACCTTGCTGAATTCGAGGGCTTTTGATTTCCGGGGACCCGTGTATAAACACCGAAGAACAGAATTACGTGAGGCAGCCAAGATCCGAAACATCTAAAGCCCCTAAACCCTAAACCCTAAACCCTAAACCCCTAAACCCTAAACCCTGAACGCCCCCCCCCCCCCCGCCCTCCCCTCCTNNCCCCCCCCCCCCCCCCCCACTCTTCTTGAAGAAGCCCCACACCTCCTTCAGCTGCAAGAGAGTGTCGAGTGAAACCTCGGCGGCTCGAGTCTGTGGAAATCCTTCGGAGAGTTCCACCAAGGGTCTGGGTTTAGGGTTTAGGGCTTAGGGTTTAGGGTTTCGGGTTTCGGGTTTACGGCTTGGGGTTTAGAGCCTAGGAGCTTCGGATTGCAGGGTTCAGGGTTTAGGGGCTTCCTTTTTTTTTAAGAGGGTTCAC